TCGTGAAACTTCGTAATACTAAAAAATTGAAAAATCTAAAAAAAAACTGTCGAAACCGATGTCAAGAATTCGAAACGTCACAGATTCGTAAAAGTGAAAAAATGGGATAAACGTAATATTCGTAAATTTGAAAATTGAACTCAAAACAAAAAATCAAAAAATTCAAATTTTGAAAAATTGAAATACAGAAATATCGAAGAACTGAAAAGTCGAAAAGCCGAGGAATTAAAATATTGAAAAACTAAAAATTAAAAAAAACAGAAATCAAGCTCACAAATACATAGCTAAAATTTAAATATCGGATAAATAAAATATCAAGGAATTGAAGAATCGAAAATTGAATAATCCCCAAACTCAAATATCGAAAAACTGATAAATTGCATAATATGTAGTAGAAAAATTGAATCGAAAAACTCGAAAATCCCAAAAAACTGTTAAATCGAAAATCCCAAAGCTGAAATTTCGAAAAATGCAGCAATTGAAAAATCCAAAGATCGAGCAATAGAAACATCAAAAGCCAAAAAATCCAAAAATCCGCAAACTGAAAAATCTAAAATTAAAAAATCGGAACATTAAAATATTGAACAATTGAACAATTCAGACAGAAAAATTGAAATTTTTGGAATTTTTCCATTGAAAACTTGAAAAATCGAGAAATCAAAAATCGAAAAGTAGAAATGTGTCGAGAAATGAGAAATTCCAAAAATATAATACATATTTGAAAATTTGGAAAACTGAAACATCGAGAAACTTAACAACCAAAAAACAAACGGGGAATCGAGGAACCGAAAAATCGAAACATCGAAAAATATGGAAAAAAAATGGAAAAGCCTCGATGTCAAAAATTCGAAACATCGAAAAACCACGAAATCGAGATATTGAAAAATTAAGAAATTGAAACATCGAAACAAAAAATTAAATAACGGAAAAATGAACAAAGACGAGAAATCGAGAAACTGAATTGCTAAAATTAAAAAAAAAATTCAAAAAACAAAAACCTGAAAAATCGGAACATCGAGAAATAAAAAAATCGAAAAATCTGAAAGTCGAAAAATTCAAAAATTTACAAATTGAAAATTGAGAAATCGAAAGTTTGCAAAATTCTAAAATTGAAACATCAAATATTGGTAAATCGAAAAGTTTAAATTTTAGATTTTCGGTTTATGGATTTCTCGATTTTTGAATTTAGATTTTCCGATTTTTGAAGTGTCGATTGCTGGATGTTTTGATTTTTCAAATCCTTAATTTTTCGAAATTTTAGTTTTGGAATTTTTCAAATTTTAGATTTTGGAAATTCTCAGATTTTTTGATTTTTCAAAGTTTAAATTTTTAAATAGTTCAATTTCTCGATTAATATTAATTTTTCGAGTTTTCGAATTTATCAGTTTCTGAATATTTGAGTTTTGGCATTTTTCAATTTTAAATTGTTTTGTGATATTTTACTTTCTCGATTTTTTAAATTTCAGCTATTCGATTTTTCGATTTCTCGATTTCCCGTTCTTTCTGGTTTTTAAGTTTCTCGATCTTTCAAGTTTTCAATGGAAAAAATTCCAAAATTAATATTTCAATTTTTCCATTTCTGGATTTTTCAATTTTTCAATATTTTAATGTTACGATTTTTTTAAATTTAAATTTTCGGTTTGCAGATTTCTTGATTTTTAAATTTTTGTTTTTTCAATTACCCAATTTTTTGAAATTTCAGTTTTGGGATTTTTCAAATTTTAGATTCTTGAATTTCTCGATTTTTCAAAATTTCGTTTTCTCAGTTTTTATCTTTCGATTTCTCAATTTTCTGGTGTTTAGTTTTATAATTTTTCAATTTTTCGATTTTTCGATTTTTCGAATTTCTATCTCTTAGGCTTTTCGAATTTGCCATTTTTCCATGTTTCGATTTTTCAAGTTTTCAATATCTTAGTTTTGGAATTTTTCAATTTTTCTTTTTTAATTTTGTTTCGTTTTTTCGTGATTTTTGAGTTTTCTTTTTTTCAAGTTTTCGATTTTTCAGTTTTTCAACATTTAAATTTTGGGAATTATTCCATTTTTGAATTTTACACTTTTTCGAATTTTTATTTCTCTATTTTTCAAGTTTTCAATGATAATTGAAAACCTGAGAATATTCAAATTAAATTTAAATTTAAAAAATCGATAAATCTGGACATCGAAAAATTGAAAATCCAAAATTCGAGAAATTGAACAATCGAAAGTCGAAGATCGATATATCGAGAAATCGGAACATTGAAAAATCGAAAAAAATAAAAAATTTCGATAAACCGAAAAATTGAATTATCAAAAATTCAAAACTTGGAAATCTAAATAAATCGTGAAAAATAAAAAATAAAACATTTTGAAAATCGGAAAATTGAAAAACAAATCAAAATCGTGAAACTTCGTAATACTCAAAAATTGAGAAATCTAAAAAAACTTTCGATACCCATGCCAAGAATTCGAAACGTCACAGATTCGTAAAATCGAAAATTGAAATCAAAACATAAAAATCAAAAAATTCAAATTTTGAAAAATTGAAGTACAGAAATATCGAAGAACAGAAAAGTCGAAAAGTGGAGGCATCAAAATATTGAAAAACTAAAAATAAAAAAAAAAAACAGAAATCGAGATAACAAATACATAGCTAAAATTTAAAAAATCGGAAAAGTACAATATCAAGAAATTGAAGAATCGAAAATTGAAAAATCCCCAAACTCAAATATCGAAAAACTGATAAATTGCATAATATGTAGTAGAAAAATTGAATCGAAAAACTCGAAAATCCGAAAAAACTGTTAAATCGAAAATTTGAAAAATCCCAAAAGCTGAAATTTCGAAAAATGCAATTGAAAAATCCAATAGAGACATCAAAAATAAAAAAATCCAAAAATTCGCAAACTGAAAAATCTAAAATTAAAAAAATCGACACATTAAAATAATGAAGAATTGAACAATCCAGACAGAAAAATTGAAATTTTTGGAAGTTTTCCATTGAAAACTTGAAAAATCGAGAAATCAAAAATCGAAAAGTAGAAATGTATTGATAAATGAAAAATTCGAAAAATATAATACATATTTAAAAATTTGGAAAACTGAAACATCGAACAACCACAAAACAAACGGGGAATCGAGATGAGAAATCGAAACATCGAAAAACCACGAAATCGAGATATTGAAAAATTAACAAATCGAAACATCAAAACAAAAAATTAAATAACTGAAAAATGAAGAAAGACGAGAAATCGAGAAATCGAATTGCTAAAATTAAAAAAAATTCAAAAAACAAAAACCTGAAAAATTGGAACATCGAGAAATCGAAAAATCTGGAAGTCGAAAGGCCAAAAAATCGAGAAACCAAAAAATTAATAAATGGAGAAACCAAAAATTCAAAAATTTACAAATTGAAAAATCTTAAAACTGAGAAATCGAAAGTTTGCAAAATTCTAAAATTGAAACATCAAAAATATTGGTAAATCGAAAAGCTTAAATTTTAGATTTTCGGTTTATGGATTTCTCGATTTTTAAATTTAGATTTTCCGATTTTTGAAGTGTCGATTGCTGGATGTTTTGATTTTTCAAATACTCAATTTTTCGAAATCTTAGTTTTGAAATTTTTCAAATTTTAGATTTTGGAAATTCTCAGATTTTTCGATTTTTCAAAATTTAAATTTTTAAATTGTTCAATTTCTCGATTAATATTAATTTTTCGAGTTTTCGAATTTTTGATTTCTCGATGTTCGATTTTTCAGGTTTTCATTTCAATTTTTTCGATTTTTCAGTTTTGGGATTTTTGAGTTTTTCGATTCAATTTTTCTTCCATTATGCGATTTATCAATTTATCAGTTTCTGAATATTTAAGTTTTGGCATTTTTCAATTTTCGATTCTTCAGTTTTGTGATATTTTACTTTCTCGATATTTTAAATTTTAGCTATTCGATTTTTCGATTTCTCGATTTCCCGTTTTTTCTGGTATTTAAGTTTCTCGATTTTTCAAGTTTTCAATGGAAAAAATTCCAAAATTAATATTTCAATTTTTCCATTTCTGGATTTTTCAATTTTTCAAAATTGTGTGTTCCAAATTTTTTTATTTTAGATTTTCGGTTTGTGGATTCCTCGATATTTAGCTTTTTGTGTCGTTTGCTGGATCTTTTGATTTTTCAATTACCAGTTTTTCGAAATTTTAATCTTGCGATTTTTCAAATTTTAAATTCTTCAATTTTTCGAGTTTTCAAATTCTCAATTTTTCATTTTTTATTTTTCAACTTTCCGATTTTTCAATTTTTAAATTTTGAATTTTTTGATATTTCGATTGATACAATTTTTTTTGTTTCTCGATATTTTGAGCTTTCGGCTTTCAGATGTTTCAATTTTTTGATTTTTCGATGTTCCGAATTTTCAGGTTTTCAGTCCTTCAATTTTTTCCATTTTTCATGTTATTGTTTTTCGATTGAATTTTTCAATTGTTCTGCTTACCGATTCTTCAGTTTTCATCTTTTTGACTTTTCGATTCCCGATTTCTCGAGCTTGATAAATATTTCGAACTTCCTAAGTTTGCTAATTTTTCAATATTTCGATTTCTCGAATTTTCGACTCTTTTGCAATTTTTCCATGTTTTGATTTTCTAATTTTTTTTTCATTTTTTCGTGATTTTTTAGTTTTTATTTTTTTCAAGTTTTCGATTTTTCTTTTTTTCAACATTTTGGTAATTTTTCCATTTCCGGATTTGACAATTTTTCGAATTTTTAAAGTTTGATTTTTCCAATTATCTGATGTTTTGATTTAAAAAAAAATGTTTTTTTAATTTTACACTTTTCAGAAAATGGCAACAATTTGTATAATTTTTCCAAAAAGTACCATTTATTTTTTCTACAACTGTAAAGAACCATAAGTCATGCTGGTTAGTTGCCTGAAGATTTCCGAAAGGTCATACGCTCTTTTATCCCGATTGCTTAACAAAAACATTGAGCCTATATTTGGATCAATGCCATCGCCAAATTCCACTGATAACAGATAAGACGCTGCGAATTAAACCCAGTTCTGATTAAGAATCCGCCATGCATTTACAAGAACTCGTCTTAATAGTAATTTCGCTCATCCCTTTAAGCGCTGCCAAAAGCGAAGTGAGTACACACCCCCAAAAAAATTCCACTTTTCCTCCTAGTTCGTTGCAGTTTCTACGACCGCCTCCCCCCCTCCTCGCCAACGAAAAAGCCGCCAAGAGCACGACAACTACTACGATAAACAAGACACTTGCTCGGCTTTAACCAAAAACACGTACTTGCTGGAAATAATCAAGCTCCAGAATGCCCAAATCGGCGCCAATCTGGAAAAACAAACCCAATTTCAGCAGGACGCCATCAATTCCAGCATCGCAGAGTTGCAAAAAATTAACACTTACGTCATGACGGAGACGCAGAGGGAGCTGGAAGAGGCGAAACGGGAAATCGTTGCTAATGTTATAACTTTGTTGACGAATCATCTGAGCAATGTGTGCAATCTCAACCAGCTGAGATATACTCAGGTGTTCATAATAAGCGAAATCCAGCGCATTCTGCAGGAGAAGTTAGAAACCAGTGCAGCTAAATTTGAAGAAACGAAGCAAACAATAGTGGGACGTTTGGAGGGGTTTGAGGCACGAGCGACTGGAATCGAAGGCAAAATTTTTGATCTGGAAAAAATTTTGGGAGAGACTAGAACAGACATTTTGGGGAAAATTCAAGCAATGTTGGACCGAATTCAACAACCAAGCTCGCACATAGAAGATCTACGACAAGAGATTGTTGAAAGTCGAGAATTGTTGAAAAAAGTTATAAGGGTGCCCAGAAATTGTAGAGAGGTTCAAAGTCTGGGGAATAACGTGTCTGGGATATATTATATCCAGCCGGATTTAGCCCCCCATCTCTTTAGGGTGTTCTGCGATATGAAAACCCAAGGGGGTGGTTGGGTCTACGTGATGAACCGGTTCGATGGGTCGCAAAATTTTTTCCTCAACTGGACTGACTACAAAAACGGGTTTGGTAACCCAAACGGGGAGTTCTGGTTGGGTTTGGAGCACGTCTACGAACTAACAGGTACTGGGTTAGTGTGGCTGCAAAGTGTGATGGGTTTTTTCTAGGTGACAATCCTGGAGAGCTTTTGGTGGAATTGGTGGACTGGGACAACAAAACTGCCCATGCTCGGTACTCGTCCTTCGGTATCGGGTCGGAGAAGGAAAAGTACGTTTTGAAGCTTCTGGGTGGTTATGGGGGTGACGCTCCGGACTCTCTTAGTTACCATTTGAATATGAATTTCAGCACCGTTGATCGTAGTCAAAATAAAGGAGGATACTGTGCGAATTATTTCAGTTAGTATGACTATATTGCTGGGTTTGTTGTTGAACGATGGGTTTTAGAGGGGAGTTGGTGGTACAAGGATTGCTTCACGGTCCATCTCACTGGTACTTATTTGAAAGGTGATGCCTCCAGAAAAGCCAAGTTGATGGGAATCCACTGGAACGGCTTTAGGGACTCTAACTATAGTTATAGTCTCAAGCAAGTGAGAATGATGGTCCGGCCACAGAGTGGGGGTAGTGCGCTGTTGCCACATGAGAAGACAAACTAATTCCTAATTAATTGTACATTTATTAATTGTTTTGGATTACAACACGATAAAGACTAATCTGGGTTTTTCTGTGATATAAATAACAACTTGACTGTGTTTGTTATCACATATTCGAAGCATAAACATGTTTCAAGACGTTTTGTTTTTCTTGTGCTTTTTCGTGAATGTTGCAAATTTTGAGGAAGTAGATCAGATTCAAGTGAGTAAACGTAAATAAAAAATTGATCGAAGGTTACTTTGGAACAACTTCCTTCGACCCTTATTTGTTGCTTTCCAAGCGGAAGCTAAGGAAGTGTTGTGATCGAGTCCATCGAGGTGGTTAAGAATCCGTCTTGAATTTTTTTTCTAGACAAAGATTTTTGGAAAAAAATCAAAATTGTGTAACAATTCTCGATTTTTCAATTTTTTTATATTTTAATTTTTCCATTTTTCAACATTTGAAATTCGATTTTTTAAATTTAAATTTTTCGACTTTTCAATTATGCGATTTTTGGATTTCTCGATTTTTCGATTTTCAAATTTTTGCATTTTCCAATGTTTAGATTTTTTCATGTTTCGGTATCCCAGTTTTGGTATTTTCCAATTTTTGATTCTTCAGTGTTTCGATTCTCCAGTTTTTCGGTTTTAATATTTTTTCCAATTTTGGAGTTTCTAAGTTAGTCGATTTTTCGAATTCTAGCTTTTTCGATTAACGGATATTTAGACTTCTCGATTTTTCAGTTTTTCAATTCTTCAATTTGTACAATTGTTGATTGTTTGACTTTTCTGTTTTTTGACTTCTCGATTTCTCGATTTTTCGATTTTTCAGTTTTGGAGTAGTTTGATTTTTCGACTTTTCTATTTTTCTCCTTATCAATTTTCTGATTTCTGGGTTTATCAATTTTTTGATTCATCAATTTCTCGATACTTTAATTTTTCGATGTTTCTGTTCTTCGAATTTTCTGTTTTGAATTTTCGACTTAATATTTTCAATTTTTCCATGTTTGAATTTTTTGACTTTTAAAATTTTAGATTTTTCGACTTTTCGATTTCTCTTTTTTAATTGTTGCTTTCAGTTTCTGGATTTTAAAATTTTCGATTTTTCTGTTCCCCGATTTTTCAATTTTTCGATTTTTTGATTCTTCAATTTCTGAGTATTTTAAATTTAAAATTTTTCAATTTCGTTTTTTTTTTTAATTTTTCATTTTGAGTTTTATGATTTTCAAATTTTCGATTTTTCTGTTCCTTGATTTTTTGATTCTTCAATTTCTCAATATTTTAATTTCTCGATGTTTCAGTTATTCTTTTTTAATTAATTGATTTTTCAAATTTTAGATTTTTCGACTTTTAGATTTCTCTTTTCATAAATTTTCGTTTCAGTTTTGGGATTTTCAATTTTTCGATTATTCTATTTCCCGATTTTTCAATTATTCGATTTCTGGGTTCATCAATTGTTTGATTTTTCGATTCCTATTGTTTTAATTTTTCGATATTTCTGTCCATCGATTTTACTGTTTTTCAATTTTTCGAATTTTTGAGTTTTCGACTTTTCAATTTTTCGACTTTTGAAATTTTAGACTTTTCTGTTTCTCAATTTTTCAATATTTCGATTTTTGATTCTTCAATTTCTCAGAATTTCTCGATGTTTCTTTTCTTCGATTTTTTGTTTTAATTTTTCGAATTTAAAATTTTCGACTTTTCAATTTTTCGACTTTTGAAATTTTGGATTTTTCGACTTTTCGATTTCTCTTTTCTTAAATTTTTCGTTTCAGTTCTGGAATTTTCAAATTTTCGATTTTTCTATTTCTCGATTTTTCAATTTTTCGATTTATGGGTTAATACATTTTTTGAGTCTTCGATTTTTCGATATTTTAATTTTTCGATGTTTCTGTCCTTTGATTTTTCGGTTTTTCAATTTTTCAAATTTTTGACTTAATATTTTCAATTTTTCGATTTTTTAATTTTTTGACTTTTGAAGTTTTAGATTTTTCGACTTTTCGATTTCTTTTTTTTAATTTTTCATTTCAGTGCTGGAATTTTCAAATTTTCGATTTTTCTGTTTCTCGAGTTTTCAATTTTTCGATTTTTTGATTCTTCAACTTCTGAGTATTTTAATTTCTCGATGTTTCAGTTCTACGATTTTTCTGTTTTTAATCCATGGAATTTAAAATTTTCGATTTTTCAATTTTTGACTTTTGAAATTTTAGATTTTTCGACTTTTCGATTTCTCTTTTCTTAAATTTTTCGTTTCAGTTTTGGTATTTACAAATTTTCGATTTTTTGAAATTTTGATTGCAGGATTATTAAATTTTTTGTTTCTTCAATTTCTCAGTATTTTAATTTCTCGATGCTTCAGTTCTCGGATTTTTCTGTTTTTAAATTTTTCGACATTAAAATTTTCTATTTTCAATTTTCGATTTTTCGATTTCTAAATTTCTGGATTTTTGAGTTATTTTCATTTTGAAATGTTTCATTGTTCGATGTTCTGTTATTTAAATTTTTCGGTTTTTCAGTTTCCCGGTATTTTAAGTTTTGGATGTTTTAATTTTTTTTTAATTTTCCGATTTTTCTATTTTTAAATTTTTCAAATTTTTAATATTCAGTTTTTCAATTTTTGGATGTTTGGAATTGTCGATGTTTTGATTTTTTGACTTTTCAGGTTTAGATGTTTCAGTTTTTTAGTTTTTTGATTTTTAAAATATTTCGTTTTTCCAATTTTCAATTTTTCGAATTTTGATGTTTCGGTTCTCGGTTTTTCAGTTTTTATCTTTCTAGATTTCTCAAGAGTTTTTTCGATTTTTTATCTTTATGCTGCGATTTCTCGATTTGTAATTTTGAATATTTCAATCTTGCGATTTTTTAAATTTTTCGACATTTGAACTTGGATTTTTTAAATTTTACTTTTTTTGATTTTTGAATTTTTCGATTTCTGTGTTAATAAATTGTTTGCGTCTTCTATTTGTCGGTTATTTAACTTTTTTGACTTTTGAAATTTTAGATTTTTCGACTTTTCAATTTCTCTTTTTTTCAATTTTTCATTTCAGTTGTGGAATTTTCAAATTTTCGATTTTTCTGTTTCTCGAGTTTTCAATTTTTCGATTTTTTAATTATTCAGTTTCTCAGTGTTTTAATTTCTCGATGTTTCAGTTCTTCGATTTTTTTGTTTTTTAATCTATCGAATTTAAAATTTTCGATTTTTCAATTTTTGACTTTTGAAATTTTATATTTTTCGACTTTTCGATTTCTCTTTATTTCAATTTTTCGTTTCACTTCTGGGATTTTCAAATTTTCTCAGTATTTTTATCTCTCGATGTTTCAGTTCTTTGATTTTTTTATTTTAACTTTTCGAATTTAAAATTTTAGACTTTTCAATTTCTCGACTTTTCGACTTTTCGATTTTTTTTTCTTTCAATTTTAAGTTTCAATTTTGGGATTTTCAAATTTTTGACTTTTCTATTTCTCGATTTTTCAATTATTCGATTTCTGGGTTAATCAATTTTTTGATTCTTCAATTTCTCGATATTTTAATTTTTTGATGTTTCTGCTCTTGGATTTTTCTCTTTTTCAATTTTTCGATTTTTTGAATTTCGACTTTTCTATTTTACGATTTTTCAATTTTTTGATTTTGGAATTTTAAATGTTTCGACTTTTCGTTTCTTTTTTTTTCAATTCTTCGTCGTTTCAATTTTGGAATTTTCAAATTTTAGATTTTTCTATTTCTCGATTTTTCAATTTTTCGATTTTTTCATGTTTTGATTGCAAGATTATTCAATGTTTTGATTCTTCAATTTCTAAGTATTTTAATTTGTCGATATTTCAGTTTTTCGATTTTTCTGTTTTTTAATCTATCGAATTTAAAATTTTCGATTTTTCAATTTTTGACTTTTGAAATTTTAGATTTATCGACTTTTCGATTTCTCTTTTTATCAATTTTTCATTTCAGTTTTGGAATTTTCAAATTTTGGATTTTTCTGTTTTTCGAGTTTATAATTTTTAGACTTTTTGATTCTTCAATTTCTCAGTATTTTAATTTCTCGATGTTTCAGTTCTTCCATTATTCTATTTTTTAATCTATCGAATTTAAAATTTTCGATTTTTCAATTATTGACTTTTTAAATTTATCGACTTTTCGATTTCTCTTTTTATCAATTTTTCATTTCAGTTTTGGAATTTTCAAATTTTCGATTTTTCTCTTTCTCGAGTTTTCAATTTTTCGATTTTTTGATTCTTCAATTTCTCAGTATTTTAATTTCTCGATGTTTCAGTTCTTCCATTATTCTGTTTTTTAATCTATCGAATCTAAATTTTCGAATTTTCAATTTTTGAATTTTTAAATTTTAGATTTTTCGACTTTTCGATTTTTCTTTTTATCAATTTTTCATTTCAGTTCTGGAATTTTCAAATTTTCGATTTTTCTGTTTCTCAAATTTTCAATTTTTCGATTTTTTGATTCTTCAGTTTCTCAGTATTATTTATATTTATTTTATATTTCAGTTATTGATTTTTTTATTTTAACTTTTCGAATTTAAAATTTTCGACTTTTCAATTTTTTGACTTTGAAATTTTAGATTTTTCGACTTTTCGATTTCTTTTTTTTTTAGTTTTCAGTTTCAATTTTGGGATTTTCAAATTTTGGACTTTTCTATTTCTCGATTTTTCATTAATTCGATTTCTGGGTTAATAAATTTTTTGATTCTTCAATTTCTCGATATTTTAATTTCTCGATTTTTCTGTCCGTCGATTTTCTGTTCGAATTTTTGAATTTTCGACTTTCGATTTTCGATTTTTCAATTTTTGACTTATGAAATTTTCCATTTTTCCATTTTACGATTTCTCTTTTTTCAATTTTTCGTTTTAGTTTTGGGATATTCAAATTTTCGATTTTTCTATTTCTTGATTTTTCAAATTTTTGATTTCTCGGTTAATCAATTTTTCGATTCTTCCATTTTTCGATATTTTAATTTTTCGATGTTTCTGTCGTTCGATTTTTCTATTTTTCAATTTTTCGACTTTCGATTTTTTATTTTTCGAATTTTTAATTTTTTGACATTTAAAATTTTAGATGTTTCAACTTTTCGATTTCTCCTTTTTTAATTTTTCGTTACAGTTTTGGTATTTTCAAATTTTCGATTTTTCTATTGTCGATTTTTCAGTTTTTCGATTTCTGGGTTATCAATTTTTTGATTCATCAATTTCTCAATATTTTAATTTTTCGATGTT